AACAGCTATTACACCATAACGACATTTAGATTCTTGACATAGAAAATACCAAAACTGAAAGAAATAGACATCAAGTTGCCTCATTTCTATGCCCTTGATGTGATCTGAACTTTACAAGCTAGGCCATCTATTCCCACAACAAGTTAATCTTTTTTTTTTTGGCTATTTTTTTTTTTTTGGTTATTCTTTTTCCTTATTGCTAAAAAAATACAAAGTAAATCATCACTTAATTCTATACATATATTTTTAACATTACTGCATAATTTTTACAGATTGATGGATTAATTACGAAATGAAATATCTAACAAATCAATACTAGCACTAATTTCTCTAATTACCATTACAAACCCTAAACACCGGAATCAAATCCAACCAAAATAAAATTAATTAAACTCGAACACACAAATCGATATCAATAGGGGAAACACATAAAAATTAATTCAAACGCATAAATTAAGACAAAAATGATAATTAATTATCAGTGAAACAAGAAGAAAACAATGATATAATCAACTAATATCACAACTGAAATTAAATTGAAACGCATAAATTACATAGAAATGCGATCAATCAAAAAGAGAAATAGAGAGAGAAAACGCACCGACATGGAGAGATCGATCGAAGAGAGGAGAGAGAAAATGAAGAAGAAATTGATTGACTTTGATTGAATTAGGTTTTTGGTTGAATAAGAAGGGATGAGAAATATGAGACAAGATTATTTGGAGGGAGAGTTTTTTTTGGCGACGGTGGTGACTGGTGAGGAGGTTAAGTTAACGTTGTTGTCACGTATATTTATCACTTTCACGCTTTTCGTCCCTTTTTAATTAAAAACTGCTTATATTAAGCATTTGTATTAGGGGAGTTGCTAATTGAGGCTCGTCTATATTATTGTCCTTTACGACTTTTTTACACAAACCCAAATTTGGTGTTTCTTCCCTAAAGAAAATAAAATAAAGGTATTTCTGTAATTCATTTATTTTGTTGCATACACTCAAAAAATATTTTAAACAATAAAAATCAAATAGGAATTCCTACAAAAAGGAGTAAAATTTTAAGCAAATATAGGATATGTTATCTAGAATATTCAATGCAATCGAAATAGGAAATACTATAGCTCCAATCAGTTCAGTTCAATTCGGCTCCAATCAGTTCAATTTAGTTTAATTCAGCTCAGTTTAGTAAATGTGAACAAACCCTATTTTCATAATTTTGTATTTATATTGCCCTTTTCTATAACTTGAAAGTGGTAGACTACGTGAAAGGTTGGAAAATGGAGAATGTATTTGTCACACCAAGCAACATTTTCAAATTGTTCAGTTGAGATAACAAACTACGCTAGACTAATTCAATTCTTTTGGTAAAAATAGATTAAGCAGTTCCTCTCTGTTTAAGTGATCAATCCATTTTCTTTTAAATTACCTATATACCAACCATATTGATTGGGAAAACTTAATGGAAAAAATAGATTAAAAATATCATAAAATCAATTTTAATCGGAAAATAGATCTCTAAGTGGATCCCTATTCAAGTGATAAACCACGGATAAGGCGTAACACAATCCACCATTTCGGTCATGTCTATTCATTTTCTGTTCATAGTTGACCCACAATTTTTTTTTGCACGTTCAAGCTGAGTTGCAGTCGTGTGTTTTTTTAATCACGAATCTATATCTATATCTATCTATACTTAGTATTTAAAAACACAAACCATTATCCTTATCAATATCCGACTGCCGACTCCGATCCCACCCTACTCCGATATTTATTTATTTATTTTTTGTTATTCAATATACTTTGAGAAATTGGACTATTTGGGCCTTTACAACCCACACCCAATGCCACCATGACCCACACCAAAATCCACGACCTGTCAGAGACGGAGTCGGATAATCTGTCAAAGTCGGACATTTGCCGGAGTCGGTTTTTTTTTAGGATCCGACTCCGACCCTCCTTCGACTCGGAGTCGGATTCTTTTAGAAGAGTCAAACTCGGATTACTTTTTTTTTCGGACTCGGAGCGGAATTTTTTTTACCTCAGATCGGGGCGAAATAGGGTCGGATCTGAACTGGATTGCCATCCCTATCGATAAGTAGTTTAGATCCGTAATTTGGCGGGTGGATGGGGGTTTCGTTGACAAAATAACACAAGGCCACAAAGGGGTCAAGGGTGCAAGTGTAACATGGTCCCCGTCCCCTTGATACAAACCAGCCACAAATTTGAGTATTTGACAGAAAGAAAAACACAATCAAACCTGATTCATTTCTTGGTACGACCAACAGCGAAGTTGCGGCAACTTCCTAATTTGTCTCCACCCTATTCGCAAACAAACACACTTCTCCATCACTTCATCGTCAACCCCTAATCATTCCAACCCTAATGATCGCAACAATGATCCTAACTCTAATTGAGTCAATTTTCCATCGTTGTTTCGATCAAATGTTCGAAAAATTTCCCTCAATTCTGCAATTTGTTCGTCGTCTAGCTTCACTCCTTCCTTATCACTGCTCATTTTCTCTCTCCTTCCCTAAGAAAATTACTCAAAATTGATCTATTTTTTTTCAAGAATTCTTGAAATTTCCAATGCGATTGATGAAACCCAGATAATAAAATTCAATACTTTGACCTGGAATTGAGTGAATTCCAAAAAAGCCGGTGATTTGGGGAATTTTCGGATCACAAAAACAGAGCCAGAGAGAGAAAATTAGGGAATTACGGATCTAGAGGCAAAATTTGGGGAAAAAAGAGAAGGTGGCGGATGTTTTTCAGAAATCAAAAATTGGAATTGATTGCAATTCGGTGGTAAGTCAACGACAATTGCTACACTATTAATTGAATTTGATTCTGATGAACCCTAATTTTTCAACTAACAAAATTCCGATTGAATAATGTTAATAATTCTTCTCAATCATTAAGTAGTGTAGTAGATAATGTAAATGGACAAATTTAATTGAATAATTTTGAATATTTGGTTTATTGTTGTGAAAGTATGACAGAGTCAAAAGAGGGATGAATTTTCAAATTAAAAATAAGAGGTTGGTGATTGGTTAATGGAGTGTTTATGTGTCCCGTTAATTACGTTTGAAAAGATCATTTAGATGGGGTTTATTTTTCCAAGCATTAATTGAAAAATAAAAAAAAAAAATGTGAATGCCAACCATTATTGACATTTTAATAGCTTCAACCATTAATAAGTAAGGCTCATTAAGGGTCCCCTAAAAAAAAAACAACTTTAATAAGGGTAGGCTTCACCGGCTCACCGCGTGAGCACTCGATTGGGTTGGATTGTGCTTGTTCGATGTTGGGTCAGATTGTGCTCTTTCCTATTGTAATTGATGACTTGAAGTACGACACAAAAATTAATGGTGTTGTACTGTTATTGTGTGTCGGTCGTAATCCAAAATTCGAAATCACAAACATGCTTCAATTTTAAATGCTACACTTTTCCATGCAATTTTATTATTTTCTTGTGCATTTTACGAGTTGTGTGCTTGTATCGTACTTACGCCTTAAAAAAAAACATGCTTGCCCCACGATAATCAAACTACATTTGGCTATGCTTTTCTTATGCGGTCGATCATCCTAATGCCAAGCCAAGCTTAATAAGGTTGAGATTTTCACTTTTTGTAGCTTTTACGGACAAGTTTGAAAATTGTGGATGTTGTCATTTGGTATTCGGATAATATTCCAAGTTATGTGGTTGGAATCTCTATTTTATTTTCCCCAAACATTAAATTACAAGCTTAAAGATGAAGCGAGTATCAACTTAAATTGTGAGATAACTCAGATAAGTTAAGATAAGAAGGTAAATAAGGCTATTGATTTATCCATTAATGCATATATATATATTTACGAAAAATAGATTAAAGTTAAGTGCACTGATACAAAAAAAAAATACACATCAAAACATGAAGCGAGTAGACCAAAATAAGAAGTTTAGAGTGCTACTTTAAACATATTTGTAGAACTTGAGTTTTAGGACATGAATTCCTATTGTCATTTAGATATGTATAATCTCACTCCTTTTCAAGAGAAATCATAAGCAATGATACGGAGTATAAACTTAATTTGTCTTATATATTGTGTTTGTGTACATTTCACCCTAAATATTTTAACCAATTAAGTAAGATGAAGGGCGGAAAGCCGGGTTCACATGAGTATGATAGATGTTTCATGAGCAATAAATACTATGTAAAAAATCAATTAATCAATCACTTTTTTCTCAAAATGGATGTTCCAAAAATTGAGATTAAAACTGTTATTTCAAGCATGAACTATTCAATTGATATGTCCCTCTTTCTCAAAATGGTTGTTTCCAAACACGTTCTTCAAACTTTTTTAGAACCAAAGTCATTGTTTATGCTACCAACAATGTACGCACATTATGAACTTAAATTATTTTTAAAGCCATAATCAAAGTTTAGTGAGACTACCTATAACTCTATTCATATCCATTTACTATAATAGTTTTTTCCTTTGTTTTCATTTTTTCGTAAAAGTTAAAGATGTGTTTTGTTTACCTGATTTTTACTTATCTGAACTTAATTTAATTTATTTTGATTGTAATTTGAAATTAGATAACCCCTTAATTATCATAACTTATTTTTTCTAAACTGAACTTGTTAAATCTGAAATAAGTACAAATAAGGTGAACAAAACAGGCCTTAAGTATGAATCAAAACTCAATCCATGCCATATAATTTAGGAAAAAAATATTATCATCATGTGTCATATTTCCAATTTATGTCAAAATTACAATAACACCAAAAAAACAGCTTCACACATCAAGTAATATCCTATCATCCTCGTCATAAACCATCCATCAATTGAGACATGATACTCTCCATTTAATTTTTATTTAGAAATTAGAAATTTTAGTAACGAAGTAATGTTTTGAAAATTACATAAAAAATTGTATCTGTAGCCTTTACCAGGAATGTTCATAATGAAAAGGTTGAAATTTTTGGGAATTACGGAATAATTTCATTGTTTTTATTTCTAGTTTGTGTGGTTGTATAACTCAAAAAAATGACTGAAAATAAAGTTTGTGCAATTAAGCAATAAAATTCACCATCATACACCATAAGTCCATAACATATCATATCCTATTATCCTACCATACATTTAAGGTAATAATAATAATTACATTTTACACATTATTCACGTCCACCTATATAACTATTGTACCCAGCTAATGTGATTACGTATTTTTAGCCTAATTATCTAAGATATTAGATATGTAGGTGATTTGAGTATATAATTATGCATATTATACACATATATAAATATATGTTCATGAACTTAATTTTTTGAAGTTCATCAAAAAAACAAAAAACAAAAAAAAAATAACATTCATCTCTAATCTTAAACTATATTAGCCAAGAAAAGTATTTAATCAATGGAGTATGGTGAGCTCCAACCCACAAATTCAGCTAGATTATCAAAAAACATACCGCGAATACAAACCCAAACCCGAAAAGACATCCTGGTAAAGTATGCCCTTGTTACACTCCTTGTTTTATTTTTCCTAGTAGTGTTACTAGCATCATTAACAATTATTACAATTGTTGTGATGAAACACAAACACTACTACAAAACCACCCTTATTATTCCATCATTATCAAATAATGATTCTAGTTACTCCCCCGGGTTAAGCCTAGCACCATCGTCGTCCTCATCATCAATGTCGCTCATACGGATATGTGCCATGACACGGTATCCGGACATATGTGTTAACTCTCTAGGAGAGTACATGATAAACACACAATTGGTGGAGGAAAGTAACAACCAAGACGGTGTTGAGGCCGCGATTAGGCATGGTGAGGTGAAGGCTAATGTGGTGGTGCAAGTGTCATTAAATGTTACAATGGAGAGATTAAGAAAAGGATTAGATTACTTAATGATGGAAATTAAGGGTTTAGATGAAATTAAGGAGTCATTTCAATGGTCAGCTCATGATGATTGTGTAGGGTTCATACAAGATACGGTGGACTTGCTCACACGTACTCGTCCCCTCCTAATGAAGACGTTATCATCAACATCTAATTATCAAGATAATAATAAGGTAATTAAATTGAATTATTGTTATAATTAATTGAGTAAGTAATTACGTATTAATGTTTGTATAGTTTTGGTGAAACTGAATTCTCATTTGTGTTGTTTGATTATATAGTTTTAGACTTCTAGTATTACAATTTTTATGGTTAGTAGTTTGTCTTTGTATGATATTAGGGCAATGGTGTAGCTTGGTAAGGGTGCTAGCTAGCATGCTATTGAGATTGATAGTTAATGTCTTTTGTGTACTTGTGTGGAGTTCCGGAGTTAAGTGTTACATCCTGTTAAAGTCTAGAGTGTCAAAATCTTGGCGATAAGTATATATAGTCTAGCCTCTATTAATACTCATCATTATGACTATTATTAAGATTTTCTTTATAATTTCAATTAGAGTAATAGAGTATTATTTCTTCGTGAGGGAATAACAAGGTTTTTTTATTTTTATTTTATTTTTTTATAAATAAAAAAAAAATTAAATTGCTGGCATTGCTACTTTACAAGAATAAATTAAACTATTAACATAAAATCTTCTTCATTCCTTCCAAAAAAAATTATGGCACGTACTGATGAAAATTTTAAAAAAGCCGGTACGGTAAAAAGACTCTTTATGCATGTCCATGGTAACGTTTAAAAAAAAAGTGTACATTAGAGTACATTCATACGGACCACTATGAAGTAGTTTTAAAATTCCAAAAATAAATCTTTTAAATATTGTACTCGTTATATTTTTAAATGGGTGGCCTTCTTTTATTTTTACATTTGTATTTCTAATAGTTCCTTTTGTGACTCTTTTATTTTAGATTCTTAGGGAATATAATCATTCGTGGTTTTTATTAATGTTGAAAAAAAGTTGATCAACAAGTTTAAAGAATAACTATGAGTAACATGTTCATCCATTATTGATGATGAAAAAAACCATATGACAACTCTTAATTTTTGGAACAATGCACATATAACTATATAAGTAAGGAAATAATCGAATCCAATGCTAATTTTTTCTTCACTTTTTTTTTCATAAATATGAAGTTTTTCTAATTAGGTATGCCAATAATAGAGTATATTGAATAATTGAGTTATAATTAGCTTGTGATATTTTCTTTTTGGAAATATAAAATAGAGTCAAAGCCATATGGTTGACTTGATGACGTGGATGGCAACTGTATGCTCAAACCAAGACACGTGTACGGAGGGATTTGAGGAAGCAGGTGGAGCAACAAAACATCAGACGGCCCAGATCATTCAAGAGTTGTGGCAAATAATAAGCAACCACTTGGATCTTTCAAGCATGGTAGTAAATTGCGACGTCGTTTCAGGTAGAAAGTTAATGGGCCTTGAGCCCAATAATATGGATCACAAAAATCTTGGTGACCCAAAATGGATATCAAAGAAGCACAAAAAGTTGTTGGGCTCACCACTATCAATCATTCAGCCCAATGTAACAGTTTCTCATCATGGTATTGGGCCTAATGTTACTGTTAGGTCCATTAAAGAGGCCATTGAAATGGCTCCCAAGAACAGTAGTGTTCCATTCATCATACATATCAAGGCAGGAAGGTAATAGGGTACATTTATTTGATTTATTATAAGATGAAATTTGTCAATTTGGTCTGTTGGTCGAGGTAATCTTTTTATATTGTGTTATATTGTGTTTTTCGATGTAGGTATCAAGAGATGAACTTAACCGTGGGAAAATCTAAAACCAATCTATGGTTTATAGGGGCTGGTAAAGGCAAGACGATCATTACGGGTAATAAAAGCGTTAAAATGAGTAATATAACAACTATTAAGACCGCTACTTTTGGTAAATATACTTTATACCCTTATTTTCTTAACATGTAAAATATTTTGTATTGTTTATCTGGATTATAAACTTGAACTTACCCTATGTAGGAGTCACGGGTGCGGGTTTTGTGGCTCGTGGTATAACCTTTGAGAGCACGGCAGGACCACAAAATCACCAAGCTGTAGCACTCTTGGTAAAATCCGAGCACTCGGTGTTTTACGAGTGTGAGATGAAAGGTTATCAAGACACCTTGTACGTACATTCAAATCGCCAATTTTACCGAAACTGTGACATATATGGCACAATAGACTTCATATTTGGTAAGGCACAAGCAGTGTTTCAAAATTGCACCATATACACTCGTAAGCCTATGGAACAGCAAACGAACACGATCATTGCCCATAAACGACCGTGCTCTAACATATGTGCCGGTATATCCATCCACGAATGTCAAATTCGTGCTGCCCCGGACTTGGAACCTGTGAAATCAAACTTCACTACTTACTTGGGACGTCCTTGGAACCAAGGGGCTACTACGGTATATATGCTATCGTACATAGGTGATCATATTGATCCACGAGGGTGGATACCTTGGAATTCAACAACTACACTAGATGATGTATTTTATGGTGAGTTTCAGAACTATGGTCCAGGAGCTAATACTAGTCAGAGGGTGGTATCACCTGGAGTACATGTTAATATGTCAGTTGTTGAGGCAGCGCGATTTACTGTTGATCGATTTGTGGACGGATCATCATGGATTGGGCATACAAGAGTGCCATTTCAAGCAGGATTAGGGTATTAGGAAAGATGGAGCAATCACCAGATTAGTTTAGAATGTGTTTTGGATGTTTTAACTAAGGCAGAATTATTAGTCTATATAAGAAAATATTAATAGTACAATTAATTTTGTACCATCCAATTGTAAATTATTTGGATCCGGATAGCTTCTGAATCATAGCTGCAGAGTTTATGAATACCAATTTGATTCCATATTTACAAACTTTTTCCAAATCTCCTAGCAGAAAAGTGCAGCATTTCTGGAAATGCAAGAAAAAAAAAATAGGATGCAAATAACTGGTAAATATATGCAGACCTTAGTAGCTGAATTAACATATGACAGTACAAATGATACAAAACCTCGCTTTAAAACTGGAGTAGAATAAACATCACAAACTTCACTTGACAATCTATACATCTAAAACTGCCACTAAACCAACCAAAAACATCAAATTACAGTGGGGCATGATGAAACTTCACCAGCTACAAATTTCAGATGAAACGGCGCATTACAAGATCAAACCCTAGTCACTCACTGGTGACCACTGGCTCTTGGGGAACCAGACTCGGATACCTGAGAATAGCCAGCTGCAGTGTTTCTTCCTTTCTCCTCCTCGGCCATCTTCTCCCTTGTTTTCTGACCAACATCCTCGGCAGCCTTGGCAACCCTGCTAAAAGCACCAGTAACCCAAGAAGTCCCTGTCAAAATGTAGCGATTCTTCATAATGGCAGATCCAGCATTACTGACAGTCTGCTCTGCAGCTGTGAATGCAGATTTTGTTTTTTCTGAGACTTGGAATTTCTGGTCAACTTCCTTCATCTTGTCGTTTACCAAGGTTGTGCCCATGGTAAACTTCTCACTCAAGCCAATCTTTTGGTCCAGAGATGCAACTGTAGCGGAAGCAGTAGATGTAAAGCGATGCTTTTCATCGAACCCCCTTGCCTGGTTCAGTGCATCTTTCCCCAAGACAAAGCCCTTGGCAAGCATAGTAGTGACAACATCCTCAGCCTTCTGCACTGGGGACCCAACAGCGCCAGTGTTCTCAGTGGCCTAACAGATTAAAATATTGTCATATCCTCATATTCTACAGCATCGTATAGCACCTGGTTTAAAGCACAATAGATAAATCATACCGTTGGTGGTACTGATGCAGTAGCTGGCGACTTGTAATCTGGCGCAAGAGCTATTGTTACTGATTGGTCAACTATGGTTGCACCCTGAAAAATAAAGTAAAATTTAATCATGAAGACTCCACGAACTATAAGAAAATATACCTCCCCACCCCTCTCCTGTCAACCAAAACAGCAGAAGAAAAGAAGGCAGCAAGAAGGATGGCATAGTAGCACGTATATTCGTATAACCACTTCAATTGTAAGATATCTAGCATAACAGATCTATATTCTCCTCCTCTATCCCAACAGCCCACAAATCACCCCCTCCAAAAAAAAAAAAAAAAAAAAAAAAAAAAAAAAACACTATTAATAGACAGCTCGGGCTTCCCACATAAGTTGTAAGGGAATCAGGGTAGCATTTAGGGTTATAAAGAGCAATCAGTGAGGTTCAAGACCCTACATCTTGTACCAAGGTCAAGACAGGTTTAGAAAATCCCTTACACAATACAAAAACAGCTCAATAAAGAGATTCAAAAGTTAGCTTCTGTATCAGTGAGATCCCAGTGTAGTTCTATTGTATCTCAGTAATTTTTTTTGCTGATTATAAAAGGAAAATTCAGAAACAAAGATAATCCCTTTGTAAACATTAAATTAGGCCCCCACAAATTCAAGCCAAAACCAGGATTTCAACTATACCGACATAAAACTTCATTACCAACTTTCAGATCATAAATCAGCTATATTAAAAAAAATAAAAAATAAAAAATAAAAATAAAAATAAAAATAAAAAAAACCCCATACAGATTACATGGGAGAAGAAAGAACATACCAAATAAAAGATCACAATATAACAAAAGGTCTTTACTCTTAGAAGTGTACTTACAGAAAGAAGAACAGCAGTTTCTGCACCTTGAGCATCCTTAAAAGTGACATATGCAGTTTGAGATCGCTCATTCTCACTGGAGATAAGATAACAGCAAATTTGGAAAGATTAAAATCACATAACTAACAAGTAAAGATACAGTACTACAATACCATACCAAGTAAATGGTCTACTTAATTGATTATTACAGGAAACTTCTAAAATCCTCTTTCTACATTAACAAGATAAGCCACACATAATAACCAACCTTTGCAACTCAATATGTTCAATTTCACCAGAAAATGAGAAAAACTCTTTTATGTCTTGTTCGGATGCTCCGAGGGAGACATTGCACACTTTCACACTTTTTATCTGCAAAAATACAATTTGTTCAGCAGAATGTAATGTCAAATGGGTCACATGATCAGTGTCTCCTATGCCTCTTTGTGTAGAGGACTAGAGGCAAGGGTACAAAAGACTCAGAATATAGCATAATATTATACTCCGTAATAATTATTAAGCATGTAAATTAAGAATTAACTTATTAAATGTGTGAAGAAAAATAGAAGGAAATACACAGCTATCTACATAAGAGCACTATCTTCTGTTAACAAACTAGTCCACCTGGCTCATGCATGTGAGAATAGACAGCTTAGAGGAAATACACAGATATGTACATAGAATGCTCAGAAGTGGTCTGAAAATTAAATGACAAAAGGCAAAAAATAATAGACCCAAGGAAAATTGGCCACATAATTAGTTAAAATGATACAGAGAAGAAAAATGGTACCGAATTAAAGCAACATCATTTACATCCTTATTAGAACATCAAAGTGACACTTTTAATCCTTAACATTGATGAAATTACAAGATGCATGATTCAAGTTCATATGACAAGCAATGCCACACGGGCTTTTAATGACATGCTCGCTAAGCTTAATCTAAAGATGTCAATTTCCTTTTTCGAAATCATATAATCGAGCAACAGCATAACACTAAAGCGGCCAATTCTATACCTCTTAGACTCACCTAGAAACAGCTATTACACCATAACGACATTTAGATTCTTGACATAGAAAATACCAAAACTGAAAGAAATAGACATCAAGTTGCCTCATTTCTATGCCCTTGATGTGATCTGAACTTTACAAGCTAGGCCATCTATTCCCACAACAAGTTAATCTTTTTTTTTTTGGCTATTTTTTTTTTTTTTGGTTATTCTTTTTCCTTATTGCTAAAAAAATACAAAGTAAATCATCACTTAATTCTATACATATATTTTTAACATTACTGCATAATTTTTACAGATTGATGGATTAATTACGAAATGAAATATCTAACAAATCAATACTAGCACTAATTTCTCTAATTACCATTACAAACCCTAAACACCGGAATCAAATCCAACCAAAATAAAATTAATTAAACTCGAACACACAAATCGATATCAATAGGGGAAACACATAAAAATTAATTCAAACGCATAAATTAAGACAAAAATGATAATTAATTATCAGTGAAACAAGAAGAAAACAATGATATAATCAACTAATATCACAACTGAAATTAAATTGAAACGCATAAATTACATAGAAATGCGATCAATCAAAAAGAGAAATAGAGAGAGAAAACGCACCGACATGGAGAGATCGATCGAAGAGAGGAGAGAGAAAATGAAGAAGAAATTGATTGACTTTGATTGAATTAGGTTTTTGGTTGAATAAGAAGGGATGAGAAATATGAGACAAGATTATTTGGAGGGAGAGTTTTTTTTGGCGACGGTGGTGACTGGTGAGGAGGTTAAGTTAACGTTGTTGTCACGTATATTTATCACTTTCACGCTTTTCGTCCCTTTTTAATTAAAAACTGCTTATATTAAGCATTTGTATTAGGGGAGTTGCTAATTGAGGCTCGTCTATATTATTGTCCTTTACGACTTTTTTACACAAACCCAAATTTGGTGTTTCTTCCCTAAAGAAAATAAAATAAAGGTATTTCTGTAATTCATTTATTTTGTTGCATACACTCAAAAAATATTTTAAACAATAAAAATCAAATAGGAATTCCTACAAAAAGGAGTAAAATTTTAAGCAAATATAGGATATGTTATCTAGAATATTCAATGCAATCGAAATAGGAAATACTATAGCTCCAATCAGTTCAGTTCAATTCGGCTCCAATCAGTTCAATTTAGTTTAATTCAGCTCAGTTTAGTAAATGTGAACAAACCCTATTTTCATAATTTTGTATTTATATTGCCCTTTTCTATAACTTGAAAGTGGTAGACTACGTGAAAGGTTGGAAAATGGAGAATGTATTTGTCACACCAAGCAACATTTTCAAATTGTTCAGTTGAGATAACAAACTACGCTAGACTAATTCAATTCTTTTGGTAAAAATAGATTAAGCAGTTCCTCTCTGTTTAAGTGATCAATCCATTTTCTTTTAAATTACCTATATACCAACCATATTGATTGGGAAAACTTAATGGAAAAAATAGATTAAAAATATCATAAAATCAATTTTAATCGGAAAATAGATCTCTAAGTGGATCCCTATTCAAGTGATAAACCACGGATAAGGCGTAACACAATCCACCATTTCGGTCATGTCTATTCATTTTCTGTTCATAGTTGACCCACAATTTTTTTTTGCACGTTCAAGCTGAGTTGCAGTCGTGTGTTTTTTTAATCACGAATCTATATCTATATCTATCTATACTTAGTATTTAAAAACACAAACCATTATCCTTATCAATATCCGACTGCCGACTCCGATCCCACCCTACTCCGATATTTATTTATTTATTTTTTGTTATTCAATATACTTTGAGAAATTGGACTATTTGGGCCTTTACAACCCACACCCAATGCCACCATGACCCACACCAAAATCCACGACCTGTCAGAGGCGGAGTCGGATAATCTGTCAAAGTCGGACATTTGCCGGAGTCGGTTTTTTTTAGGATCCGACTCCGACCCTCCTTCGACTCGGAGTCGGATTCTTTTAGAAGAGTCAAACTCGGATTACTTTTTTTTTCGGACTCGGAGCGGAATTTTTTTTACCTCAGATCGGGGCGAAATAGGGTCGGATCTGAACTGGATTGCCATCCCTATCGATAAGTAGTTTAGATCCGTAATTTGGCGGGTGGATGGGGGTTTCGTTGACAAAAT